GCTCTTACACGAGCAAAGAATCCTTCCAGATGATCCTGCAAAAATAAACTAAATCCAAACATTTTTAATAAATAGAATTCAGGGCACTTTACATTCGTCTTTTTAAACTATTCTTTCTAAAAGTATTTTTTACATCTTGGAATTGATCTTTGTTAATGTTACATTTCTTTGGAGATATCAATGATTTTCCTAATTTGCAAAAACAATTGATTAACCCTATTACCATGGAGCGGAAGCGGGTGTTTCCACCCCTCCTTCCTTGTGGTTTTTTCGTTCTAACTTAAAACTCCCACCATCTTTATTTGAAATAAATACTCCAATTGGAATAGGGTTAAGAAGCAAGGAATTCACATCTGTTGAGTTACCTGAGAAAGTTTAAAAGTAAGCAAGTAATCCAAGGGACCATTTTTAAAATAACTGTCAAACACTCCTGACAATGCCTTCATGTTGAGTAAAAACCCAAGAAATCCGGTTTTTCGTCCAGAATCCACAAGTCTTGTTCCTGAAATTCACAATTGATCAACATCAAAATTGTATTTCTACCATATATTCCATTTTTTAGTTTCTTAATTTTGTTTACCTGTTGCAAGATGCAGACCAAGGATGTATGATTTTCCACACTCGAAAACATCCTTCCAGTATCCAGTGTTAAGGTTAGTTAATGGAGCCTTTGACCATTTTCCAAACTTAGAAGAACTGTTGCAAAGATCAAAAAGTTCATCAAACTTTCTTAAAATTTTTGATGTCGGACCACTATCTTTGAACTCCGGTAGTTTGAGATTTTCTCTGCAATGGTCTATCGCGTTGGCCACACTTCTGCTGAATGTCTGAGCAGCAAATGAAACCTTCATTAATTGGTTGTGAAAGTAAACATGATCTCTCCTCAGCCTATTTCCGGCATGAAATGTGTAGTTTGTTTGAAATTCATAAAGTAATATGATATATTTCCAGGAAATTACACCTCCATCACCATCAACAAATTCACCATCATACGCTTCCCAGGCATTTCTACAATTCTTAAGCATATGGCAGTTATCCAACAGGACATGAATTGGTTTATCTGCTCCCCGAATCTGAATCTGAGAGTTGATTGAGTCTGGGTTCAAATCTGCGCCTAGTTTCTTTAGCATGGATAGGTTTACTCTTGGACCATCACAGGTCATAGATGTTACTTTGACCCCACAGTCATGAAGCTTTTTCAGACAGTCAGTTACTAGGTTAACACGTTGATCAGCAGTTAATCCTTTTATTAGAAAATATCCAAGTGGAATTTTCCAGCTGTTATTTATAGCTACAGCCATAAATGTCAGACATTCTGCTGCTAATTCACTGGTATCCTCCTCTTCTCCCAAATCCACAAAACCAACAAACTTATTCCCAAAGAACTGTAGATGCTTCATTATACTCATCTCGTCAGAGAGAAGGTTCACAATCACTTCCTCTCCACTATCAACCTTGATTCGGGAGAATGTTTGTTTTGTTTTTTGTTGTAACTATACTAATTAGTTCCAATTTTATTTTTTAAACTTATAATTAACGTTTTCTAGCTAAAACTGTAATTTTAAGCAAGATGTAACAACAACAAATTTGTCAAAACATAGTTAAAGACATTCTTCCTTCCTTAGATTTTAAGTAGATGAACACTTGCTCTGTAAATCCTGGGGAGGCATCTAAATTCGCACACCACTTCCTCAATGTACTTTCATGTGGTAAACTGTTGTGAAATACTTCTCGTAGATATCTAAACATAAACACATATCAATACTCAAAGTACACAAAAAATCTTAGATTACACTGTTTTCAAATCTTGTCCATTTTTGTTTTTCAGCTACATAATATAAAATTTAACTCAAGAGGAAGAAATTAATAAAAAAAAAGAATGATATATACTTTGGAGAAAAAAACTCAGCGGGAGCGGTTGAACCAGCGGTTGAGATCTAGCCTAGACTCTACGCAGTTCAGATTAAGAAATTAAGAAGAAATTTACAATTTGTTCAACCGCTAAATCGCATTTTTTAAACAAAACATAGTTGTGGCAAAGTCTCAATTCCTTTATTTTCATAAAGAGATAATAAGCGTAATTTCAAGTTCCCCTTTATGCAATGATGACAATAACATCGAATGAAGGAAAGAGAAGATTTAGCCTTCTAAAGAGAATACTTCATTACACAAGATGTATTATGACGGAGAGCAGACCTAACGATTATGCACTTATGGCTCACTACTGAGAAAATCATTGAAATGTTTGTGCAAGCAAATCCAAGAAAATTGTAGCTTAAAAGAGTTGGTGAATATGTAGATTAAGTAAATCCTATCTACAAATTTCAGAAAAAATTTCGTTTATCAGTGAAAATATGATTTTTAATGATGCTGTGATTATTGATTTAGTTAGCTGTGATGGAGTTAAGTGTTAAATTTATAAATTTATAAAGTTAAAAAGTTAAAGTTAAAGCTGAGCCCAAAACATAAGACAGTGTATTGTTCTGGAAACCAGTTTTAAAACCCGGGTTTCATGAATGGGGTTAGGCAGTTTTGTGGATATCAATATTTTTGTTGTGAAATATTATTCTATTCAGCTTGTTTATATTCTCAATTTTTTTCGAATCTCTTAAATCAAAATCTACACAAATGTTAAGACCCCAAAAAGGAAACTCGGGAGTTTTGTCCCGCAATACTCTTTTAAATTTCGGGCTCTGTACAAACTGTCCATCAACATTCTATACTCTAACCTTTCTCCGTATTTGTTTTTTAACAACCTCAAATGCACTTCAGATTGCTTTAATGTCGTCTTCCTTTTCTGGTTTTCTGGTTATCACTGTATAGTGTAGTTTCACGCACAAATATGAGGAAATCAAATATATCAGGTTCATGTTATTAAACTCAAAACATTTTAGTTTTTCTCTAAAGCTATCAAAAAAGAGTATTTATCTTATATCTTATATCTTATATCTTACTAGGCTTCCAGGGTGCTTTGCGCCCATCTTCCATTTCAATTGTGAACATTTTCTCTTTGTCTACATTGTAAAAAAAACCCCAAAAAATCGTGGCTTCTTTTAAAAAATTTCTCTGGATTTTTAAAATTTATTGGCAATCGAATTTTGTTGGAGACTAATTTTTGAAATTTTGATCATTCATAAACCTTCCCTGGAAACAAAGAAACTGACACACAGACAGACGAGCAAAGTATATATATATATAGATATGAAAACATTTCAGATTTCGGTATTTTGTGCAATTTACTTTAGAAGAACTGGAATGAGTATTTCTCCCCTCAATCAAGTTTTAATTTATGTTATGTTATGTTATGTTATGCTATGTTATGTTATGTTATCACGTAAAATAGTTTTGAGTTTAAAATGAAAAAAAAACTAATTAAATAATTTATTTTTATTTCAAAAACAACTTCACACCCTTTCTGAACTTTAACGAAGTTTTGAATACAGTGAGAACCCAAAAACTCTGGAATAGGAAGTCGACTTTTAAACTCAAATTATGACTTTCAATAGTACAAAGAACATAAATCAACATTGGAGCTCATCGAAAGTGAGCAACCTTAATAAACAACCTTGAACCAGCCATTCCCAAAATTCCGAAATTTTCTAAATAGGACAATTATTATTTTACTTCTTAAAGGATTGAGTGTGCAGAAGATAGAGGGAGGAGCTTGCACTATCACACACATTATCACACAGCTAGCTCAACCTTAGACAAGGACCACACCCCCTACCACAACCCTGGCTCAACCTTAGACAAGTAAACCAGAAAAAAAATGTTTAATCTCTAACTTCTATAAAACAGAAATTCTAAATTCTAAGTTGAAATTTATAAAATTGATAAATGCTAATAGACAAAAATAATCTATTATACAGTGGTAGAAAATTATATCAATACAATGAAGACGACTTTCGATTTCCGTTTTCATTTATATCAAGCTGTTAAACAGCATGGATACACAAAAACATAGAAGTCAAGAGAAGCTGTCAATTTTAAAAGTTTTTCTTTAATTGCTTGTAAAGTTTTAATTCGAAAAAACTTGTTAACAATCAAAATTATAAATAAAAAGAATATTAAAACTTTCATCATTTTATTAAAACATATTTTACATATAAATAAATAAATAAATAAAAGATCAACCATCATCTTTATAAAATCTATAAAATAGCAGCTTCAGCAATGAAATCCGGGATTCTAATACCAGACTTCGTTAGTACTTCTACAAGCTTCTTAGAGTGTTTACCATCCCGAGCAGGTTCGAAAAATCTAAAAATTTAAATCCTGCAATACAAACCTAGTAATTAAATGTAAAAAAAAGGGCTGGAAGAGATTTAAATCGAGAGAAATCTGAAAGTTGGAAAATGGTTTGAATTTGAATTCGCTCGGTCAATGATTTCTCAAATATGTATAATTTGTTGCAATTTGTGCATTTTTTTGTTAACTTTTACATAACTAAATTGTGCAATAAATATTTGGAAATTTGCCAATTTTTTTTGGCAGATAATTGAAGATTTCANCCCCCCCACCCGGGAAACAGGCATAATACCAGAAGTCATGGTAAAAAGTGTTGCTTTGCAACAAAAAATACCAATCCAATGAAAGCCGGGTTCCCCACTTGTTAATAATAATGTACTTACGTGACTGCTCTTCCGGTTGTCAGGTTCACACTAAAAATACTGCTTTTAATGCACGCTAATGTGATCTGGATTCCAGTTTGTTCAGTCCGTACATTTGAAAATAATATGCTTCTACATACCTCTAATTGAAATCAATAGATCGAAAATGTTCCAAAGATTTAAAAAATGCACAATTTTGTAAAAATTGAACCATGGCGAGTGCTACAATGTCTTGCGATAGTTTTTTTTTGGGACACCCTGTATAGCTCAAGTTTCTCAGTTTTGCCTAGCGCTATTTGAATAAAATTAATGTATAATTTATACTACAAAACTTAATGACAAACCTGTGTACGTACTCCTCAATCTTGTAGGGCATATCGTAGTTGATAACCAACTGTACAGCGGGTACATCCAGTCCACGGGCCATGACACCTGTCGCCACCAGGACAGGATACTTGCCAGTCCTGAAGTCATATAAAGCCTCGTCACGTTCACGCTGAGAACGCTTGCCTTAAATGTTATTTAGCCATTATTTCAATGAACATAAAAAAATTCTGAAAAATGTTCATTATAGATTCAGAAAAAACATTTATGATTCAGAGGACATATACCCTCCCCCCCCTTTTTTCATTCAATGACCCTAACCAGTGCTAAGGATCAATTTCATGTTGATGGAAGGATAAAGATCATAAAAATATTCCCTGGTTTTTCCCCCAAAAACTTGCTTTTACTATTCCACAAGAGGTATGTTTAGTATCAATATAATCACTTTTTAATCAGTTTAGATTTGTCACTCGATTGCCAAAAAGCTAACAAAAAGAATTGATAAAACGTTCGCCCTCTTAGCTGACTCTTATCCAAAAAAGCCCTCGTTTTGCGTCCAGGTCCTGAGCAGTAAGCACTGGCCAAATTAGTAGTAAAAATGTACTTACTGTGAATACTTGTGGCTGGTTTATTCATTTCCATAATCTGTGCAGCCTGAACATATTTAAAATTAAGAAACGTAAGGCCGACATACCGTAGATTTAATAGTTTGTTAAAGCTAAGAAGCTAAGAATTGAAAAATTAATCTTGCTTTCATTTATTTTTCTTTCATAGATAAAATATTTTTTTTTATTTTTTTCTCAGAATTAAATGTGACAGAGCACACGTTTAACAAAACGAAGCTATACGATTAACACAACCTACGATATGAGGATCTATTAAAATAAAGAGTTACCGAGGATCTATTAAAATAAAGAGTTACCGAGGATCTATTAAAATAAAGAGTTACCGAGGATCTATTAAAATAAAGAGTTACCGAGGATCTATTAAAATAAAGAGTTACCGAGGATCTATTAAAATAAAGAGTTACCGAGGATCTATTAAAATAAAGAGTTACCGAGGATCTATTAAAATAAAGAGTTACCGAGGATCTATTAAAATAAAGAGTTACCGAGGATCTATTAAAATAAAGAGTTACCGAGGATCTATTAAAATAAAGAGTTACCGAGGATCTATTAAAATAAAGAGTTACCGAGGATCTATTAAAATAAAGAGTTACCGAGGATCTATTAAAATAAAGAGTTACCGAGGATCTATTAAAATAAAGAGTTNAACAATCTTTTTATTGTTCCTAAATCCCTGTCCTAATCCTTTGATTTTGTTCCTAATTATCAATTTTTTTGTTCCTAAAAAATCTTGCCCCCCCCTCACTTAAATCCTGTGTCCGCCCCTGTTTAAAATGAACATGAACTTTGAACTAATTCAGGCAATGATGACTAATAAAACAGTCAGTATGTACGTTAAGAACAATCCTGAACAATAACAACAGAAACAAAATAATATAAAAGATTCAACACCAGAAAATATCGAACCCAGAGATTAGAGAGTAGATCTATTTAAGGATTATTTACAGCAGGTTCTTAAGTGTACACGACAAACAAGTATCTTGAGCCCGCGATTTAAAAGCTTCGGATCGGGTCAATATTCCTTAAACCCAGCTTTATGACCCAATCAATTAGACCCAACTCTGACGATTGACAGCTGCGAGATCTTAGGCTCGACTTGCAGAGTTAAACAATGAAAATAAAACTGAACTTGGTTGGTTTTTGTTGAGAATAAGGCTTAATAAGTCTTGTTCTCTTCAAAGTCCTGAATGCTCCAATTCGTACAATGTAAATCCGCCAAATACAATATTATGAACTTAGCTCGTTGGAAAAACAAATAAAAATATGTCCCATGTCGTCCTTTCTTGAATTTTTTTTTCGCTGGCTCAAGGATATTTAAGGTTCCTTTGGATAAGAAATACAAAACCTTCAAAAACTGAATTAATGGTAAAAGTTTGTATTTCATTAAAAATTGTAAACTTAACCATGGTATATATCAGTGTTATCAATGAGCATGAAAACAAGTGTGAATAATGAATAAGAACGATCAAAGTAAACAACTGACATGAAGACAGGAATGTTTAATGGTGTAAGCCAGGCTTAAATTAAAATTTGACGAAGAGACCAACTTATACCAGAGCTGAAAACTTTAGAATGAAATATCCTTAATCAAGATCGCCAAATTAATCTAGAGATTAATAATAACAGAGGAACAAGCATTATTTAAACTGGATATTAAGAAAAAGAGGAGTTTAAGCATTAATCTCGATATCCACCATTCTAAAGTTTTCAGCTCAGAGGCCGTTCCTTCTATAGATAATGGACGTGTAGTTCACGTACTTTGGAGGACGATAATTTCGCCGCTAGATGTCTCCCGTGCGTTATTCATGGACTTAAGAATGGTGGATATTGAGGATCAATGCGTTATCTTATCTTTTTCTTAATATCAAGACTAACCTAATCTTGTACTTGTATCCTGAAAATTGTATAAAATTCAACCAATCAGAGTCGGGTATCAGAAGCCGGAAAATTTGCGCGCCATTTAAGATTAATTATACAGAAACGGGATGGACTCCATAATGAAAACCGGTTTTTGATTTTTCTGTACTATTTCCAAAAAAAGTGGATAAAGCAAGAAATTGAAAATGTCCACATTGGATATTCGGATTAAGCAGTCGGGATTAAAGGTATCCCATTTTAAAGTTCCCAGCTCAAAAAAAAAATGAAAATAAAGTTAACTTTGTGTCCCTTGGATCATAAACAATAGTCTCTAATTGGGAGGTAATTAAGATATTCAAAATATTGACTCACCTCTTTCTGATACTTCTTACTGAGTTCTATAACTGCTGAGGATAGTGCATAAGAGAACATTAGAGTAGTACGCTCGGTCTTGGGAGGCATACCAGGGCTGTTCATCAGCTTCTCTATATCGGGGCCGAACCCATCGTCAAGCATCTGGTCCGCCTCATCCAGCACAACGTACTGCACCTGATCCAGGAGCACTTTACCAGTTTCAATAAATCTAAGGAGCCTAAACATCAAAGAACTCAGAATTAGCCAAAACCAGACTCTCACATCAGATATGAAAAACATTTAAATGTTCTTGACGGACAGCTTATAACCTCAAAAGGACCAAAACTAATTAAACCTACCGTCCCATAGTTCCAGAGATAATATTACATCCTGCCTTCAGGTTTCTTAATTGCATACCAATGCAGGTTCCTTAAAAATAATAGTTTTAAGTGATCCTTTAAATTTGAAAGTTCCAGCTGTAAAGATGAAATATATCGAAATTTTAGCACAACATCCCACAGGATGTGAAAAGTGCAAAGAACCTGAATAGTTTCAAGAATAAACTAAATGAATGGCTAAACTACTGAATGGCCAACATAGACAAAAGACTGAGATGTTTTAATTATCACACCAGTGATACAATAACATAAATTCACCAATTAAACCAATTAAACCAATACCAGGGGTGTATACAATTCCATTTCCCCCCCCTGGGGGGGAAAGAAATCAAAGGTCACAAAAGAGGGGAAGGGAAGGAAAGGGGAAGGGAAGAAGAAGGGAAGAAGAAGGGAAGAAGGGAAGAAGAAGGGAAGAAGAAGGGAAGAAGGGTCGCGTGAAACCGTTTTTCAGGGACAAAAGCGGCATTTTTCCTTTGAAGATAGGACATATAATATTCTGGACATTGTCTGTCCCGAATATTCCGGACATCTGGACAATGCGGGACAATGTCTCAAATATTCGATTTTTGAATAAACAAACTTAAATAATATTAATTTAAATTAAAACCGGTTTTTGAATAAACACGTGGAATCACTTTTAACTCAAATTTAATTTAATTATTTAATTAAATGATATAAAGGGAAGAACCAAGAAAATCAGTCTCATGTCCCTGTAGACTTTTTTACTGTTTAATTAAGTAAGAATAAGTAAATTTTTTTAGATCAAACTATAATAAATCTAAGAAGAGTTTAATCTATGTCTTTGAGTTGTCGAGTTCGGGGAAGGAATTAAAAAAAAATTTAGGGGCTGGGGGGGAAAAGAATCAAAAATATGGAATTATATACACACAATACAGAAAAGCTTTGGATCAGCACTTTTTAACATGTATATTTTTCAAACGAACATGGATAATAACGTTTACAGACCTATTAAATTCATTAATAGGTTTAAGCTTTTGCATTGAAATATATAGTTACTTGTAACTTGATGTTTAATGTTTAAAAAATCTGGTGTCCCGATCATTAGTTTATTTACATTACTTAACAAGTATTGGTCTGTTTACTTTTCCTAAATACCATGTCCCATAGCCCTCCTGTTACGTCTACAACCAGGCTATACTAACTGCCTGAATTATTAATTTCTACTGTAACAAACTAAATCATTGTTTTGACCCACTTTCAGTTGTCAGATTTTGATAATTTAAGCTTTTAGAAATTTTTTAGCCTTTAGGAAAGCCTAAAGACATGGAAACATATTGCTGAAGTTTTGCAACTTTATTGCATGAAACAGTTCAGAAGAAATTTGCGAAGTTTTTCTTAATTAGACAAAGATCGTAAATATTTAGCCAATTTTTTTTGCATATTTGAAATTCAATGATCAAGGGCTTTACAAAAATATTTCTTATCATTTTTTTGGACATTTTTATCTTGCTTGTACTCAAAACAAATTACTTGCACTTGTGATTATACCTGAATTCATACTAAATCAAACCTCGCACTGCTGAAAATGAACGATCAGGTTTAAGACAAAACGCCTGAACTTTTTCTTTGGATTATGTTTATATGCAGGCTACTGTGTTATATTCTCAATTTTCAGAAAATGGCACCTATCAAACCCCTAAGTCAACTGACGACTGTCAAAATGCGACCAGAAAGTTTTTTTGGTGAAATTTACAGATTTTGCTTCAGTCTTTTTTTAGGCAGTAGTTAGGCATATAGTTAAACCGCGGCTCAAATTCATCAACGGTTCTAAAAATATCGCAAAAAAACAAAATAATCTTGATTAAGTTATGATTGAGTAAGACTTAAAAATGCACTTGATTTCTACAATTAAGAAATAAAAAATGAAGTGCTTTTACTTGAATCCTGATGGTTCATTTTTAGTAGCGTGACCTCAAAATTTTGACTCATGAATGAGCTTTATGATCTGAAATCTAACGTAAATCTAACGTATTATATATGATCTCAACTCATAGTCAAAACAAGTAACAGCTCGATTAGCAAATATATTATTAAGCGACTTCTACCCAGACCTGAGCTTAAAAAAAAACATACCGATCCGTGGGCTAATTTTAATGTGCAAAGTTAAATTAGCCAAATAAAATTGCATTGAAAGGAAGACGACATTTGAGACAGAATACCGTTTTAACATATTAACTGTAGGTCGTATCTATCTGTCTACACTGCTCTAGTAAAGGGTAACCAAAGTGTGACTATGGTAGAACGTCTAAGAAATTGGCCATAAATGTTAGCTATCCGGACATTGGCTCACCGGCTTTTAGACCAATTTGAAACATTTGCAAATAAAAATTATGCAGTGCTTTATTTACACATTACAGGGTCATAAAGTTAGGGTTTATTAGTTTGGAAAAAGCGTATATATTATGTAAATATGACGATTGGTCCCCTAAAATCGGTGCATTTTAAGCATCTAAATGATCAATCGTTTCACTAGAAGTAGGTCAACTATTTAAAGCAGGAATTAGACTAAGTTGAAGTAAGGATTAAGTTATCATTTAAGCAGTTTCAGATTAATTTTTACATGATCCCCCCCCCCTAAATAGTTGAATTAGCCTACCTCCGTAAACAGCAACACTCTTAATTGCAGAATCGAGAGCAAACTTTCTTGCGTTGATGTTGATCTAAATATTGGAAGCTATAAAAAACGCTTGAGCTATACCTCAATTAAATAAATATTTTCTTTACTATATTTGATATTTCAACAAATAAATTTTTTACCGGCAAAACGTTATTTAAAAAAATAAAGGGACAGAGGTAAAGTTGAGACCTACCTTAAATTAAGGCAGCAGCTCAATTATGGTTGGTTCCATTTAAAATTGTATTAGATTAAAGATTTAAGCTCAATTGAAACCGGTTTGAGGATTTCAGACATGGCTTTAATTTCATTAAATTCGATCACCGATTGTGTTAAGTAATATTTACCTGGTTAGCCAACTCACGGGTAGGCGAGACTACGATGACCTGAGGGCTCTGTTCCCTAACTCCTACGTTAGCTGCTACTCCCTCCTCTAGAAGGTTATTGATGATAGGGAGAAGGAATGCACCCATCTTTCCTGATCCGGTCTGAGAGCATGCTAGCACATCTCTCTTCGCTTGAACTAAACATTTTAATTTAAATAACAGAACTAACAACATTCTTGAGCATTACAAGTAGGCAAAAACATCACATGATCACATAAAACAGACTGATTTAGCCCCCCCCCCCAAACATATTAATTTACTATTATTTAAGGGTTAGGTTAGGACAACTACGGGTTCGGACAGGGTAGGGATGGGCACTACTGCCACATTTTCAAAATTGCAAGGACATATTTAATAAAGAGGGAAGAGGGCTTCTGAGTTCAAAAATTCTTCAAATTATAAATTTTAATGAAGTAAATATTTTTGCAGCCTCAAATTAAGGTAATCTTCCCAAATAAGAAGTTAAAGGTCAATGAAAGTATTTTAAGAAAACAGACAACTCAAATTTATCCCGTGCTATATGACCAAATCCATAAATGCGTGTAAAATTTCAGTTCCCTGCACAAAAAAATGAGAAACATCACCAATCTAATGTGCCCTGAGCTGAAAACTTTATAATAATATATCCTTAATCCTGATCGCTTAATCTGAGTATCCAATGTACACTTATGATTTTATTCTTAATCCTCTTTTTGGATATCCCTACTGTAATAAATTACAGATACAATCCTATATCGATTGAACTAATATCCAATTGAATTTAAGTCAGCTGTTCACAAGTCGGCTTTAAGAGCATTTGAGCAAATATTAGTTTAATCATGTTAATATGAATCTATTAAAAAAATATTTTTATCACATTTTAGGACTATCATGTTAAACGAGTCTTCACAAACATTAATCCAAAACTTGCATTTATTTAACCGATGTTTAGTTCAATTGATATGACACAAATAACCCCAGAAAAAAACCGGTTTTTCAAAAGTTAGAGTACATCTTAACATGATACAGTGATTGGTTGAATTTTATACTTCTTTTTTGGATATAGAATGCGTATTTAACTAATCTTGGGTTTAGTAAAACCAAGAGCATCAATCTTAATATGCATCTTTCTAAAGTTTTCAGCACTGTCCTGAAAACTTTCGAATGAGATATCCTTAATTCTCTTTTTTGGATATCCATACTGCAATAAATTACAGATACAATGCTATATCGATTGAACTAATATCAGATTGAATTAAAGTCAGCTGTTCACAAGTCGGCTTTTAGAGCATTTGAGCAAATATAAATTTAATGTTAATGTGAACCTATTTAAAATATTTTTTCACAATTTAGGACTATCATCATTTTAAACTAGTCTTAAACATTAATCCAAAACTTGCATTTATTTAATCGATGTTAGTTCAAAAGTTAAAGAGTACATCTTAACCCTATTCCCGCTGGGGGGGGGTCAATTTGACCCCCCCCTGTAGTTTTTTTTACATAACTCAAAAAGTATTGGTCTGAGGCTGTTGAAATTTTCTGACTTTTCTTACATACCCAAAGCCCTCCCTTTAGGCCTAAAACCGGGCTTTAATACTAACTGCCTGAGTCCTCAGGCACACTGCCTGAATGACTGCTTTTGCCTGTAGCAAACTAAATCTTTGTTTTGACCCACTTTTACTTGTCAGATTTTGATAAAATTTAGCTTTTTGGAAAGCCTATGACATAAGGAAACGGATTGCACAAGTTTTGCGAAAAAAAAATTGCAAATTTTTTGCAAACAACCTGTCAAAGGAAATTTGCACATTTTTAGTTTTTCTTGATTAAAAATCAGGTTATTTAAAATTTTGCAAAAATTTTTGCATATTTAAAATGGCATGGTCAAGGGCTTTTCAAAAATGTATAATTTGTCATTTTTTGGACAAATTTTTTTTTGCAAACATTTTTACTATAAAACTGGATTTTGCGATAAAAAATTCAATTTTCGCAAATTTGCAAATTTTTTTGCAGATTCTAAAAGTAGAGCACAAGAGCTTTCTAATGATGTATCATTTGTCATATTTGGACATAAAACATGGGATTTAGAGGGGGGGGTCAAATTGACCCCCCCCCAGCGTATCCTGGTTTTCAAGTACCCCAGCGGAGATAGGGTTAAAATGATACGCCGATTGAATTTAATACTTCTTTCTTGGATAACGAATGCGTATTAAGACCGATTTCTTAGGCATGTTACCATCGGTACAACTATAGGTTGTTGTATGAACCTACAGAGCGTCCCATATCATATTAGATTATCTCCAATCTTTAACACCAAAATAAACCCTTAATACTCGAAAAACTTATACTTTTCCGCAAGAAAATTCTTATATAAGCCTTATGTTATTTTTCAAAATGATTCATTCTAATGAAATTTTCTAATTAGTCCCGAAAATCGTAATTTAGACCCGTTCTCGGTCTAACATGATGCGGGACACCCTGTAGTTCAATAATGCGTAGATGAAGCAGGAACAGAGTTTAAACCAGGAAGAATATCTGAATTGTACTAAAGAAGGGGTTGGAGAATATACTTCAGTCCCGCATACCATCTAGCGGGGTTCACATACATTTTATATTCGGCAACGTTTTTTATCAATTGGAATAAAATATACAAAAAAGTATCTTTAGTTGTAATAGTTGTGCTAGTTATGCATTTAGGTACCTCCCCACCTACCAGACTTATTTGCGGTATATTGTATCTATCTAACTACACTGCTCTGGTAGCGTAACCATAGTGTGACTATGGTTCTACCATTGGTAGAACGTCTAAGAAATTGGCCATTAGTAGAACCAAGTGTTAAGCATTTATCTTGATATCCACCATTCTAAAGTTTTCAGCTCTGGTTGAAGACGGGTTTAATTACTTACTAGCTGGAATACTATACATCTGAATCGGAGTCATGACCTGCAAAAATAAATCTGCATCAGTAACTGAATGAATAGCCATTGCTACACCCTGTACTGTATTCAAACAGTGGACTTCAGAAGAGGAAAGGTTTCAGTAAGTGTGTTAATTGTAAGGCTAATTATTTGACAAACAACACTTGGAGAGAAAGTGTATAATGGATGGAGGGTGGGATGTGATTTACAGAAGTTGTTCAAATCGTTAAGTACATTACGTTTTACCTTGTAAAATAGGACAAGTTAAAGCTTACCGAATATTTACTCATTTTGACGTTATGCAGAACGAGAGGTCGGAGACAGAGAAAATCTTTGACAGGAGCAGGTACATTCTCTCCCACAACCTCCACCGGTATGTTCTTAATATTTTAATATTTTTCCTACTTTACGTTAATATAAAAACTTATTCACGGTAAAATTAATAACATTAAGAATGATAAGGGAATTTAACCCAACCCCTTACACTTTCTTTTTCAGTGAAAATGAAGTCTAATTTAGATTAAGTAAATTAATTCTCACCGTTCCATCCTCGTCAGTGACCGTACGGGTCTTCTCCTCCTCAGTACATTTGGCCCCTATATGACCTGCCTCGCCACATCGTCTTAAATTGTTGTACCAATTATTTTTATCAGGGTGCGTTTTCAATAATTTCAATAGAAAAAGATTGTGAAAATTCTCAGTTTGTCTAAAACCAGAATAAAAGTGAAGCTGAAGTGTGTGGAGCTCTACATTTAGCATTATTACCAATACTTGACATTTACAATTTTTAGCTATAGCTTATGCGATATGTAGTTTCTTTAACACTATGAAAAACATAACTTTTCTTTGTCAAGAGCTTTTTAAAAAACATAAAAATCAGTTTGCCAAATGGCATCGAGCACTCCAATGCATGGTCACCATTAACAATCATTATGTGTTAGAAATATATATGTAAATCAATATCATAATACGTTCGACATAATCATATTTACATTTTTTTTAAAACATTTACTTAGGTTTTCTCAAATCTTACGATTCATGTTCAATAGTTTCCGGTGACATTTGAAAGATTAAAAAAATTACCGAATATAAAAATCATTTAAATAGATGGTGACAAATTTAATTCTAAACTTAAAAACGTATTTATTACTAATGCAAGTCAACGTATTTATTACTAATGCAAGTCATTACGTTTGTAATAAATGAAGAGTTGTGCGATACCCAGAAAACTCCCCAAAATGACTTTAAATTTCACAAGATGAGGCACAGCACTCGTGCAGTGTAAAGAGAACCATTTTACTTCATTAGTGATTAAATAAGTTAACTAATAAGGCTACTTGCTTCATAACATCAAAATCTTTTTATTCTTCAGTTTTCTGGTCATCACTGTACATATGCAGGGTGGCCAAAACTTTTTTGAACCCATCCGTACAAAAATCCGTACATTTTCAGAA